GGCTTGGCATTGATAAACTCCCTTAGCCTTGTTTTTTGTTGTTGTTGTTGTTGTTGTTGTTTTTGTCTGTGAAGCTTCTTATTTCCCCTTCAATTTTGAATGATAGCCTTGCTGGATAGAGTATTCTTGGATTCAGTCCCTTGCTTTGCATCACTTTTTAAATTTCCTTCCATTCTTTTCTGGCCTCATGTGTTTCTGTTACGAAATCATTTGATAATCTAATGGGTGACCCTTGTATATAACTTTCTGTCTCTCTCTTGCAGCTTTTAAGATTCTCTCTTTGTCCTGAACATTTGCCATGCTAATTATGATGTGTCTTGGTGTGGGTCTTTTCGTGTTCATCCTGTTTGGGACTCTCTGTGCTTGTGTGACTTTTTTCTTCCATATCTCAGGGAAGTTTTTTGACATTCTTTCTTTAAATAGGTTTTCTAAGCCTTGTTCCTCTTCCTGTTGTTCTGGCACCCCTATTATTCGTATGTTGCTTCATTTCATGTTGTCCTATAGCTTCCTTAGGCTCTCCTCCTGTCTTTTAATTTTTTTCTCCAATTGCAGTTCAGTTTGGGTGTGTTTTGCTTCCCTGTCTTCTAATTTGCTAATTTGGTCCTCCACTTCTCCTAGTCTACTTTTGAAACTTTCCATGGTGTTTTTTATTGCAGCTATATCATCTCCATTTCTTCTTGGTTCTTTCATAAGTTATTGTTTTTTTCAACCATTCCTTCTTGATTCTTACATAAGTTGTTGGTTTTTTCCTCCATCCGGTTTATGCACTCTAGGACCCTTATTCTGAATTCTTTTTCTGACATATTGCATGCCTCTGTTTCACTTAGCTGCTTTTCTGGCGAATCCTTTTCTTTCCTTTCGGGGTTTCTTTGTCTACCCATTTTTGGTCTCACCGAGTGATCTGGATGTTGAGTGGTGCAGGGGCTTCTCCTTGGGTGGCAGTGGTTCCTCGGGCTGCAGTTGCTCCTGAAGTGGTCGTGGTAGTGGCTGCTCCTCAGTTGGCAGTGGCTCCTCTGGTAGGTGCTGTTTGCAGCAGTGGGGTCTCCTCGGCTGGTAGGTGAGGCTGCTCGTATAGCTGCTATTCCTTGGACAGGGGTGGGCTGATCACGAGGCTACTTGTCCTTGGATTAGAGCTGGCTGCATGCTGCTGCTGCTGTTCCTCAGATGGGAGGGCTGCGTGTGAGGCTGCCGCTCTTTGGACAACGGGCAGGTTGCTTACAGGGCTACTGCTCCTCGTATGGGTGCGAGCTGCTTGCGCAGCTGCTGCTCCTCAGGTGGGTGATGGTCTGCTTGTGTGGCTGCTGCTCCTCAGGCGGGAGTGAGCTGCATGTGCGACTGCTGCTCCTCGGATGGGGGCGGGATGCTCACCCAGCTGCTGCTCGTTGGACAGGTGCAGACTGCGTGTGGCTGCTGCTCCTTGGACCAGTGTGGGCGGTGCAGGGCTGCTGCTCCTCAGATGTGGTTGGTCTGTCTGCTTGTGTGGCTGCTGCTACTTGGGCAGGGTGAGCTGTTTGGGAGGCTGCTGCTCCTTGGGCCGGAGTGAGCTGCATATGCAGCTGCTGCTCCTCATACAGGGGCTGTCTGCTCGCATAGCTGCTGCTCCTCAGATGGATGGGCTGCTTGCGTGGCTGCTTCTCTGAGGGCAGGAGCGAGCTGCAAGTATGTCTGCTGCTCCTCGGATGGGGGCAGGCCACTCACCCAGCTGCTGCTCTTTGGACAGGTGCAGGGTGCGTGTGTCTGCTGCTCCTTGGACCCGGGTGGACTGCACAGGGTTGCCGCTCCTTGGACGTGGGTGGTCTGCTCGTGTGGCTGCTGCTCCTCCGACTGGGGCAGGCTGCTTGGGTGGCTACTGCTTCTTGAATGGGAGCAGGCTGCTTGTGGTGATTCTGTTCCTTGTATGGGTATGGGCTGCTCACACTGCTGCTGCTCCTTGTATGGGAGCAGGCTGCTCATGCAGCTGCTGCTCCTTGGAGGGGGGCAGGTTTCTCACACACCTATTGCTCCTCAGACAGGAGGAGGGTGTGGGCTGTGCAGCTGCTGCTCCTTGGATGGGGGCAGGCTGTGTGGGGCTGCTGCTTCTCAATCGTGGGCAGGCTGCTCGTGGGGCTGCTGCTCCTCAAACAGGGCAGGCTGCTCACATGGTTGCTGTTCCTCAGACGAGGGAGCGGGCTGCTCACACAGCTGACTGCTGCTGCTCCTTGGACAGGGGCAGGCCATGTGAGGCTTCTGCTCTTAGGTCTGGGGCAGGCTTCTCATGGGGCTGCTGCTCCTTGGACAGGAGTGGGCTGCTCACGTGTCTGCTGCTTGCGTGGTTGCAGTACCCCGGGCTCAGGCTTTGGACTAGTCAGAGGGAAGCACTCTTCAGAACTCACTGGAGCCTGCACCCAGGGTGGCTGGAGACTCATTGACCATGGGACCACAGCTGAGGTAGCAGGTTCCTGGCAGGGGTGTTTGTAGAGTCCCAGGTGATATCTGAGGGCACCGTGGGTGGGGGCAAGGCCTGGCTCCCAGTTACAGAAGCTCTCCCCTTAAAAGTGCTAGGCTTCTGGGGATGAGCTGGCCTCCTGGAACTGCTTACAATGGTAGCAGAGGCTGCCTAGTTAGGCAAGCCAGTTTAGCCTGACCACGAAGGTCCTGTGGGATCTATCTCTGCCACACTCACATACACACACTCACATCCCACATGACCACACACTGCTCTTTTGGTCCCTCACTGACTTACGCTCTCTCCCTCACTGCGGCCTTCTTCCTGCCTCTGTAGTTGCGTCTGTGGAGTTATTGACCTGTTTGTGGATGGAGTTTCCTCTCCAGGTGTCTGGTTATGAGGCTCACTCTCTAGCACCTGGCCAGACATGATAAAATTCACCTTAACAAGACACAACACGAAGGGACCAAAGCACGAATATACTCACGACAATTATAACCCCACTATAAGTGACCACCTGAGAAAAGAGAATTAGGGACAAGTAAAGAGAGAATAAATGATATCAAAGAGAGCGAAAAAAATGAGAGAAAAGAAAAAGGAAGAAAAAGGAGATTTTATATATATATATATGAAAATACCACAGAACCAATAGATAAATAATCAAACAAAAATAATAATAATGACAAAAAAATAAAAAATACAAACACCAAACCCCCAACAAAGAGGGTGGGGGTAGAATCTGTAGATGCTAAGCTTATATATAGAAGTTAAGGTTAAGAATTGGATGAATATGGGGAGGATCTCAGTTCAGTATAGAGGAAGTAGAAAGGGAATGGGTGGATAAGAGGAAAGAGAATGAGAAAAAAAATAATAATTTACAAAAAACTTGATTTCAAAAATGGTATAAAAATAGCAAATACAAATAAAATAAAATAGAGTAATGGAAAAATAATGTGAAAAGAAATAGAAAATAAAGCAACAAACAAAAACAGGAAAACAAAGAAAAAAGAGAAAAAACGAAAAAAAAGAGAGATAACAAAGTAATAAAAAGTAAAAAATAAAATAAAAATGAAAAAGTGAAGTGTTCCTTTGGCTGGCTTAAGATCCCAGTCTTCTGTACTGTAGTGTTTCTCAGGTTCTGATTGCTGGGACTGAAAGTCTCTATTTAGTCCAGCCCCTTTGTGCTCTCAGGGACTATTTTGGTTTTGTTTTTTTTTAATCCTGTTACCATTCAGGGTGGAATCTGGATGTGGCTGTATTAGTTGCCTGGATACTGGAGGGAGGGGCTATCTCTTCAGGACAAAATGGTTGCCCAGGTCCCAGGCTCAGGCATGACTCAGCACAAAACTCACTGCCACTTCTCCTGGATTCCCCTCTCTCCCCAGATTTCACAATTCCGCACCTTCTCCCACACTCCAGCCATGGGTAAGTGTCTGTATCCGAAAGATCCTATGAACTAGGATCTATGAAGAAAGGCACAAGCCACAGAGGCCGGAGAGGCTGCACCTCTACGCACTCCTCTCCTGCTGGCACTCTTCAGCCTTTACTGACTCTGGACCCAGATCTAGAATCCCCTGCTGACCAGCTGTTCTGCGTATCTTCTTTCCACTGCACCTGTCCCAAGGGACCCAGCCCAATCTGGTGCCATGTGGGTTCCCTCTGATCCTCAGGGCTCAGAGTTCTGGCCGATTATCCTTCCCAAAGCCTTGACTTTACTTTTTGCCAAGAGTCCCCTGCCTTTTCTGGCTGCAAACTATCTCCCAGCTGAATCTCCTCTGCCAATTCCGGCTGGATGTTACTCGTTTCAGCTGCTCACCCTGTCAACTCCGGGACAAGGCACGGGACACGTCCGTCTATACCGCCGCCATTTTTCCCTCCCTGAGAACCTATATGATTCATTTGATTGGGAAATTTAGCTATGAAGACAGAAATCAGAATAGTGGTTGCCTATTGGGGGTTGAGATTGATTTGGAAAGAAGCTTAAAGAAACTTTGGGGTAATGGATTATTCTACCTCTTGATTGGAATACTGGTTACATAGATGTGTATATTTGTCAAAGTCATTGAGTCTTACATGTAAGATCTGTGTGACTCACTGGTTGTAACTTTACCTCAGTTAAGACAATTAATAAAAAGTAATATTTTAGCAGATGTTCAAAAGATGTCTGAGGCCAGTACTAGATTTAGATTGTATTTTTAATTCTCCTAGGAACTGTCCCTATGTAGAATTTCTTAAATTTTATTTTTTCACTATATACTGCATTCATATGGTTTAAAAAAAACAAAAACATTCAAACAAATCTTGGGGGTGGAGGGAGAAATAGCAAAAATTCTTATTTCTGTCCTTGTTTCTAATCCTCCCAGTTTCCTCCCCAGAGGCAACTACTATTCTCAATTTCTTATGAATTCTTCCTCAGACTCTTTATGCAAAAACAAATGCCCTAAGTTTGATAAGTTCAAGAAAATATGGTGCTAAAATGAAATATCTTATTGACAGTTATGTAGCATTAGAACTGTGATTAGAAATTATAGCATTAGAATTGTTATTAGAAATTTTAACATTAGAACGGGAGGTCCTATTTGATCAATTCTTCACCCAAACTGGGGTTGTGATGACTTTTCAAAGTGCAGTTTCCAGAGGATTTTCACATGCTGTCAGTCTTCCTTGGGTAGTCAAGTTAGAAATGCTCTTTTTGGCTAAGAATTTTGCTATTTCTAACTGCTGAAGCCATCGTTTCTCTTTAAAAGCACTGTAAGAAAACAAGATTTATTTATTTATTTCACTGATGAAGTTCAAGCTTTTATTTTATTTTTAATTGAGTTTGTTGGGGTGATATTGGTTAATAAAATTATATAGGTTTCAGGTATACAATTCTATAATACATCATCTGTATATTTTATTATGTGTTCACCACCCCAGGTCAAGTCTCCTTCTATCACCATTTATCCTCCCCCACCTTTACCCTCTTTTACCTCCCCCAACCCCTTTTTCCCTCTGGTAATCACCATACTGTTGTCTGTATCTGTGAGGTTTTTTTTCTTCTTCTTTGCTTAATCTCTTCACCTTTTCATCCAGCCTGGCTTGGGGTTGAGATCCCAATGCTTATCAGGGGAACCTCTGCAGCTAAGATATCCCTCTGAAATCTCAGCCACCGCCTGCCCATGGGCACAGGGCCAGCCCTTTTCATGCCCCACCATCCTGCCAGTCTTGATGTGGCTTCTTCTGTAAATCTTTGGTTATAAAACTTTTCTCCAGCTAGTCTTCAGTTGGGGTTTCAGGTTGATTACTCTACATTTTAGTTGTAATTCCAGTTTGGTCCCGTGGGGAGGTTAGTGTAATATCCACCCACTCCAGCACCATCTTGGACATAATTTATAAGGAAATCCAATCTTGTCCCATTTATAGCAGAAATGATGGAAATTTTTAGGTTGAGTTTTGTAGCTATGGCAAGTTTATCTTATCATATAAGTTAAGATGTAAAACAGGAAAAGGGAATCTTTCTAAAACCAGTTTGTTCTGAAGCCACAGGAATGGTATTTCTCAAGGCAATACGTACCATAAACTTGGAACCCACAACTAGAAACAGAAAGCAACTCAATGTCATATAGAAAGCCACTCAAAAAGTTGAAACTTTTCCTATCTGTTCCTCTTAGGCATCCCTATACATAACATATTCCCTAACTTATTCTCCATTCTGCTTCTTCTCACCCACCACAAACACAAAGTTTGCATTGATGAGATAGTAAATATTCTGATAGAGTTTAAGAGAAATGCAATGAAAGTTAATATTTTATGATAGCTATGAGGATACCAAAGTTACTGTGCCTTTTCTTATAAATTTGAAAGTGATTGCTCGTAGTTTGTAGGATGCAAATAAGATTTACTACAGAAGGGTTTTATATTCCCTTGAACATTGGGGTCCTCCAAGATTCTATCTTTTGTCTTCCTCTCTTTCTTTTTGTACCCTTATCACAGGAGGCCTCATTTACTAATTGCCCATATCTATGACTTCTAAATCTTGGGCTTTCTTAAAAGTACCTATCTCCAATCCTATCTAATAAAAGCCTAGGTGGTGTCAGGTGATGTCGTCACAAGATGGCCACCCCCACTTTGTCACAAGAGGCCAACACAAGATGGCCACCCCCACGTCATCACAAGATGGCTGCCACAAGATGGTCACTACAAGATGATCACCACAAGATGGCTGGCAGGGGAGAGCAGTTGTGGGCAACCAGACCAGCAGGGGAGGGCAGTTGTGGGTGACCAGGCCAGCAGGGGAGGCCAGTTGGGGGTGAGATCAGGCCAGCAGGGAGGGCAGTTATGGGTGACCAGGCCAGCAGAAGGGCAGTTAGGGGCGATTAGGCTGGCAGGGAGGGCAGTTGAGGGTGATCAGGCCAGCAGGGGAGGGCAGTTAGGGGCAATTAGGCTGGCAGGGAAGGCAGTTGAGGGTGATCAGGCAAGCAGGGGAGGGCAGTTTGGGGTGATCAGACTGGCCGGGGAGCAGTTAGGGGGCGATTAGGCAGGCAGACAGGCAGGCAGGCAGGCAGGCGGTTAAGCACCAGCAGTCCTGGGTTGTGAGAGGGATGCCTGACTGCCTGTTTAGGCCCACTAAACTGACAGTCGGACATCCCCCAAGGGGTCCCAGATTGGAGAGGGTGCAGGCTGGGCTGAGAGACAGCCTTCCCCCCTCATGTATGAATTTCATGCACCGGGCTTCTAGTTAGTAAATAATAGCATTTTGTAATTGGACATCTCACAAAAGCTTCCAATTTATATGTCTTATATCTTCTTCCTAAATCTGTTCCCCTTCAGTATTCTTGCTGACACAGTGATTTTGCTATCCCCACCATCTCCAAAGCTATAAACAAAACTTAATTCCTCCTTATCTGTCCATTCCTATACCCAGTTAGTGACAAATTTTGTAGATTATTCATTAGAAATATGCCACATTTTGCCTTTCTTCTTACTAACTACTTCTGTTTTAGTCCAGATCTTTGTTGCCTCTTGCTTCTCTTATTGCAAAGTCTCTTAACTTTATTGTAGTCTTTTTATATCCACAATATTACTTCTTTCTAGCAAGTCTCCCATGTAGCTTCACTAGATTTATTTAAAAAAATTAAGCAAAACTGCTTATGTGACTTGCCTGATAAAAAAGAACTTCTGTGAGCTCCTACTTACTTCCTACCTCATGGAAAAGGAATAAAAAGCAAACTCTCCACTTGGGCACACAAGATGCTTCTCAATGTAGGTATACTCTACCTTGCCAGTTTCATCTCATGTCATTTTCTCCCTATGTTTTAAAATGCCTTGTATAAATACACTTACTTTCTTGAAAAATAATGTGTTTTTTTTCTTCTTTACAGACAGTACCTTTGACCATGTTTCCACCTCTACTTGACTCTTTTTCCATACCACCACCAGTTTTATCGGGCAAAGTCCTGTAAAATTAAACGGCTTTCATTCAATCTATCAGGAATAACCTTGCATGAAAGTAACATTATTTTCAAACATTTGAATTAGATCCAAGTTTGCCTGATTCTATATATATATATATATTTATATTTATATTTATATTATAATGATGGATGGACGTTGGCCAGAGTCGCCTTCAAGCCTTCGCTGCTCTGGCTGGAGCTGCCTTCAGTCTTTGCTCTGCCGCTTTGTGCCTATGTATGCAAATTAACCACCATCTTTGTTGGTGGTTAATTTGCATATCTTGCTGATTAGCCAGTGGGAGGCGTAGCGAAGGTACGGCCAGTTACCATGTTTGTCTTTTATTAGATAGGATATATATTAGAGGTCTGGTTCATGAAATTCATGCACTAGGTAGGGGTCCCTCAGCCCAGCCTGCATCCTCACCAATCTGGGACCCCTCAGGGGATGTCCAACAACCAGCAGTTGGACATCCCTCTCACAATCCAGGACTGCTGGCTCCCAACCGCTCACCTGCCTGCCAGCCTGATCGCCCCCTAACCACTCCCCTGCCAGCTTGATTGACACCTGCTGGCCTGGTTGCCCCCAACTGCCCTCCCTTGCCAATGTGGTCACCCCCAAAGGCCCTCCCCTGCCAGCTTGATTGATGCCTAATGGCTCCCCTGCTGGCCTGATCGTCCCCAACCTCCCTCCCCTGCCGGTGTAATCACCCCCAACTGCCCTCCCCTGCCAGCCTGGTCGCCCCCAACTGCCCTCCCCTGCAGGCCTGGTCCCCCCCGCAACTGCCCCCCATGCATGCCTGGTCCCTCCTAACTGCCTTACCCT